ACACTTTAACAAATACTGATGCTGCATAAACTTTCTTTCTTTATTCTGTTCATGAGGACAATTCAATTATGGGATTTTAATAAATCATTGTAAATATCATATATAATAGTATTTATCTAACTTTGAAGTTAATTAATCAACGCGATGTATTATTTTGAGAAGATAAAGTGAGGACGATTCTTTATTTTTCGTTACGATTATCTTTTTGTTTTGAAAGTCTCTGCTAAGTCGCTAGCAGGCCTCTCTATATAGCCTAGAGGCCTACTCCAGCCTCTAGTGAGAAAAATTTTTGTACAATATGCCTAGGCCTAATCATAATCAAGAACCTAGGCGGCTAGTATGTAAGTAAAATAGCAGCATTCTCCACAGTTCTGTAATTATTATTAGTAAGTAATTATTATCATTATTACTGTATTATTATTATTATTATTATTATTATTAATTATTATTCATTGAATTTTTGATTTGTAATTGTAAAATATTTAAACATTTTGATTTAGTGTAGGCCTAATTATATTTAATTCATCTTTAAAATCTTCTTAGTTGCACAATTAATTGATTTGTAAAGCACAATTGGGCATGTTTGCATAGCACATGACTCCTTGGACAAGTTTTCGCTTTTATTGGACGATTCAATTTTTATTTTTAATTATAATTTAAGCTAGGCCTAGACCTTTGACTGATCATGTAGCTTTCTGGAAATTATAGATTAACAGCAAATTGCAACATTGCATCTTTTATAAATATCATTGCTGCTTTGAAAATCCTTCCTTTTTTTATTATCATTGTAATTATATTTATAGTATTATAGGCCGATTTATGTACTACCTAGTTAGGCAGACAGAGCACCAAAGTGGCAAAAAATTATTTATAAAGCGATTTTTGTTGGGAACTGTTGATATCGACCTGGAATACCACCAAAAAAAAGTTGGATGTATTTGAGCCATGGGAAATTTTTTATGACCTTTTAAAAAGGGTAATTCTATATATAGTAACAAGGTGGTAGGGGGTAGAATAGATAGCCATATCTTATCCTAAACCCGTAATACATGCATTTTTAAGTATAAAATATCATTGTTTAGTACCACTACATTTTTTTTCTTATCAAGGGTTACGCAAACATAATTATAATAATGATGTCCGAAACGGTCAATGGTCATTGCAACAAATTGGCCCATACCTTAAAAAAACAGTGGATTATGTACATTCCTTTTAAAGTTCCTGATTTTTTCTCTAAACAAAATGTTTTATGGCTCATTAAATCTTAAATTTTCATAATAATTTCAAAATGGCGTCCAAAGATGGCCGACATACATTTTGCATAGCTATTATTCAGTAACAAGTGGCACTTAGGATTTGCAGTGGAAATTTCTTATTTTTTGGGTCATAATATACCATGCAATAAAAAATGTAAAAATCGAGTTTAAGGAATATATAAACAAATATTGAATTTAAAATGAAAATAAATATGTAATAATAAGCAAGGCCCATGTAATTGTTGAAGAACCGTAGATTCTTCTGGACGCTTAAACCACCATTCCATTGTGGTCAAATTGTGCTGACGTTCGCCATGTCACCATGTTTGTGTAAGGTCACGGGCTCGAGTCTCGGTTGATTTTTTTTCTTTCTTTTTTCAGATTTTCTTTTTGTTACCTTTCAACAGTGGTGAGGCCAGGACCTGCCCGACGGAGGGGCTAAAGGCCCCGACGGGGGGGGGGGTCGAGGGGGAAGCCACGGATATTTGATGAATTATGGCGATTTTTTATTACTTATTTGATAGGCATCGAATTACTATATGACTTCATGTAGGCCATGCTTTCTAATGTTCAAATCAGCTTCCAAAACCGAAACATTTTGAATAAAGCAAGAAACAAAGAGTATGCAATGTGACCATCTAATTTAGTTTCAAATCCTCATTCTTGAAAGTGAAATTCTTATTTTGGAAATTTTGCATGAAATCTGTCAACCACGCTGTCATGGTCGAGGTTGCCTCACTTATCACGATGTATTCCAACCATCATGAGGCAATCTAAATGAGCATTTGTCATAGCAGAATGCAAATTATTTTTAATTAGTCTCATTGAATTATTATTATTATTATTATTATTATTATTGTTTTTGTGATGATGATGAAAAGTTAACACAAACAATGTGGTAGATAAACAAATATTACATGTAAATATTTTTTTTTATTTGTTTGTTCCCCGACAAAATTTATCTGAGTGCTCTGGTCCAGTCTCTGTGGAGTAGATAACTGACAACGAGACACTTAGGAAGTAGGCCTACAAAGTTTTAGGAAATGCTATACAAATGCTCATTATAACAGTGGGTCATAGCCTCAGCAGAGTACAGTATTATTTAATCATAAATTGTATAGGGACAGTTGCAAAGATGCAGTGGGGCTCAATGATTTTTTTTTCTCTTGGCGTTAAGTGGCAAAATAAGATGATATTCAATGATTTTAACTACTTGAGCTGACTTTTTTGTTTCCAATGTGAAGGATGCGTAAGTTTTTTTTGGACAGCGTCCCAACCCCCACCCCCAACACACTCTCTAGACATGCCACTGTATAGAGACCATTCCAAATTTGATATTTATTTATATTTTACTTAAGCTCTTACTAAATCATAGTTTAAATGATATTGATAAATGCTATGACCCAGAAAATGTAGACACTGCAACACCACTATAGGACTACTAATCAATGGGTTACGGATATGAAAATATGAATATAGCAGCCATTTTGGATGACTTTTGGAATTATTCAATTTTTGAAAATTATTATTTAATCATTATCGGATGAATTTTGAATTGGTTTCAGTTAAGAAAAAAAGCAACTCTGAGACAAAAAGAACTTAATTTATGGCTATTTTAAAGTTTTTGGCGCCATTTTGGCGGCCATCTAGGAAAAATCACTTGCTGCTTGTGCATTTTTTGGATAAAATATACATATTCATCTTTTCTAGACCTTATGCTACAGAACACATCCGAAAAAAGTTTTCTTGTAATTGTTTTTTTGGGTCATATGTGGGGTGGAACAGACTACCCCTACTGTTTCAGTGTTTGTTACTAAAAACAGATTGACCTTTATATAAGAGGTCATAACTCTTTTTCCCATGGGAAAAATTGTTCCAACTTTTTTTTTGGTGGCTCTTGAAACCCTCTAAGATAGTTTCTACTCAAAAAACCTTTGTAAATAATTTTTGCCACTTTGGCCAAAAAACTGGGTTTTTCACCCTAACTAACCTTATGGAGTTAGGCCGAAGAAGTGCTGAAATCTAGGCCTAGGCCTAGTGGTAGTAGGTAAATGCCTTTTACTACGTGGATAGCGAGATTCTTCGATCGCCATTCAAATTTTAAATAAAATCCCAAATCCTCCTCCTTTTTTAAATTTAAGGAAATTCATACATTTTAGTTCCTTTGTTGGATCGATTGCAGCAACCCTCAAACCGAACATAACAGTATTTTACATTATATAGCATTAATCATAACTGCTAAAATGGCTCGCCAATGTTTTGTTTAGGTAACAATATGGCCTGTGCAAGTCATGTGATTGCGATCCACACAATCACACGCGCGTATAGCAGAATCCCGTGAAACCGATTTGGCAAAACTCTCTCTATCTACGGCTCTGGCTGCGTATGGTGTATCGTTTTTTACATGGGCGGCGGAACCGGGGGGCCAGGGGGCCTGGGCCCCCCCACTTTTTGGCGAAAAATATATAATGTCTGGAGAACTTTGTATGATCGGAAATGCAAAAAAAGAAGGAGGGAAGAAGGAGAAGGATGGGAAAGAGAATGTTTATCCAGTACCCGACCGAGTTACATTGGGGAAGCCACGGATATTTGATGAATTATGGCGATTTTTTATTACTTATTTGATAGGCATCGAGTTACTATATGACTTCATGTAGGCCATGCTTTCTAATGTTCAAATCAGCTTCCAAAACCTGGGGGACAAGGGGAAAATATCTATCTTTGAAAAATCTTCCCCACCCCTTTAAAAATGCCCTTTCATCCCCTGAAAGTGCCTAAAACCTCAAATTTCGCGCGCATTTCTTGTTAACATGGCCCAATTTCCTCCAAAAATTGCACATTTTAGGGAGTTTTGATCAATACCAACGAAATTAGAATTAAAAACACCGGGGGACAAGGGGAAAATATCCATCTTTGGAAAATCTTTCCCCACCCCTTGAAAAATGCATCCTCTCTGAAAGTGCCTAAAATTCTCAAATTCTTTGGGCGCATTTCTTGTTACGGTAGGCCAATTTTTTCTCTATAAATTGCACATTTTAGAGAGTTTTCATCAATTCCGACGAAATTAGAATTAAAAACACAAAAATATTTTGCGCGCTTTGCGCGCATTTTTTAGGGCTTTTTTTAAAAAAAAGTTTTTTATCCTTTTGAGTTATTCCAACACAATATAGTCCCAAACTCAAGAAAGACAAATTTAAGATAGATCATTTTAACCTAAAAGAAGGGCCTCAATGTGTATAGATGGTGAAAGAATATGTTTGTAATAAATAATACCATGATGAAAAGGCTTATATTTAGTTTCAAACACACGTGTGTGGCCTATATTATAAATATGATAAGCCCTATGTCGTATTGTTTTCTATATGGGGAGTGGGGGGGGTGGGGTAGGTATGGTATTACTTACCGGGAAATGAGGATTGTATGTTATTATTATTATTATTATTATTATTATTATTATTATTATTATTATTATTATTATTATTATTATTATTATAATTATTATTATTATTATTATTATTATTATGTTGTAATAATGATGTTCTTTGTACTGTTTTTAAACTTCATTAAATTGGGCCCCTGAATATCAGTTAACCTACTGGGCTAAACTAGAAGGTTTACCCTCTTTAAAGATGGTTGAAATAAAAAATAAAAAAAAATAAAAAAAATAAATACCCACTCTGACCCAAGACCTCTGTTACGCGCCTGGTGTTAGCGCCAATGTGTGCCCTTGTGCGGACAGGGGATGTGCCCCCCTCTGAAGCAGGAAACCTTGTTTTTTGCAAAATAAATTGATGCAATTTGTATAGGCCTAATCAATAAATTCCTCATCAACCAATATAACCTTAAACGTTCTTGGAATTGACATAACATTTGTAACGGCAACCGCGTTACCTTAAGATTGGGATACATTTTGACATTTCCTGGCAATGTCACGAACGCAGAAATTGCCGTGGAGCATGGATGTTTCGTCAGTTTTTCTCCTCTTTAATCTCAGACTCCAAGATAATTCGATAAGTTTATGTTTCAAATTGTAAGTAATGAACATCAGTTTAACTAGTATAATCAATATAATTCACAGTTAATGTTATCTTCTCAGTTTTCGTGAATACTAGTTTTAGTTGAGATACGAGATATACACGTGTAAGGCCGTGTGTGTGTGTGTGTTTGCATCATAGAGATATAATATGAATACTAGAGCGCTAACAGCAATGTATTCGATGTTCGAAATACGCAGAGCTGAGTATGTGTACCATCCAAGATGGCCGCCATAGATTTAGCCAATCAAATTTCGCCTGAGCACTATCATTTTCAATGGCGCCCTCAATTTACACAGAAAGTTCAGTACAGCTAATTACCCGTATTTTGAAACTCGAGCGTTGCGGTGTATGGGTGTAATGTACACGATTTTAATTCTTTTTAATATTTGAATAAGATGCTCTACTTGGGTTCTTTTTGGCTACGACAGTTTAATAATTTGTCATTATCAATACTGATTACCATTAACGAAATAATATTCAGTCAGAGGGCTTATTTATGGTAATAATATGTATACTAAGCCTGAAGGTGGCGCTTTTCTACGGCAGCCATCTTGGATGGTACACATAAAGAAAATTAAGCTGTACAGTACCTGTCTCTTATACACATCTTTGCATCCATTGCTGTACAACTCAATGTAGGCCTGTCAGTAATTAACGAGTTTAGATTTAATATTATGATGTTGGTATTCTTTTGTGAGAATAATCAGTAGCATTAGTGTTAATTGGAGAACTGAATAACGTGTTAAATTATCGTTATGTATTGCTGGTTAGTAGAAGTGATCAAAGCATTTTGCTACTACAGTAAATCTTGGATATCGTATCGCTAGCAACGTACTTGTCACAAAGTCTCGTTCCGCTTGAGTGGGCTCGAGCGTGTTATAGATTAATTTTATATTACGCCCTCTGTTGTTTATATTCTGGTTCCCGTATTAAACTCATAGATTATTGATACTGAACAGAAGTTAACTATGTATAAGTGTAATTTTGCCCTACCTGACGTGGAAATGTACCGAATACTCAGTACATTTGAAAACAACTGCGAAAAAAAATTGCAAGTTGTTCTGGTGGGACTCGAACCCACGATCTCCAGATCACTAGCCTGGTATCATACCTCTAGACCACCGAGCTCGCGCCTGATGGACGGGGCATTAGGATAAGTTTAATCGCCGCTAATTCATTTAATTTTACTCGAAACGTTCGATTTTCCGCTATTTGCGCTATTTTTTCTCACATTTTCCTTCATAACTTCACATCTACTCGTCCGATTTTCGCCATTGTTCTTTTATTTTATTCGAAATTTAATAATAGTTTTATTAGTCTTAATTTTAATTTATAAGGTTGCCAAATCTCGTCGGACTTTTTAATTTTGTAACGATAGTTTTTGAAATTTTACTGCGTGAAACCTACGATTTTTGTAGAAATCTGGCAAACCGCCCGAAGTTTTTTTGCAGTAGCTTCGCTGATATTGGGCCAAATTTTGTCATTGTTGTGGCAAAATGTAGCCATGTTTATTACCTATAATATATGTAAAAATTAATTTGATTGGTTAATAAACGGCGTCGGACTTTTTATTTTTGTAAAAATCGACCAATAACAAGTCTGTTTAGAAGCCAATGCTTTAAAATAGCGCTTTCAGAATTCACGGGATTTTCAGGCAGAAGTAGCTCAACTTTGGAGGTAAAATTTTGAATGTTATTTGCTTTACATTGAAATATAAGTTTGATTTTTAGTTTGTGAATATGTAGGTGAACATATTGATATAAATTTTAATGTATATTTACATGAGAAATGTGGTAGTTATGACAATTTATAAATGGCGATATTCTTCTAGGCCCACAGATTCTGCTCCGGTTCACTGTCCGATAGTCAGACCATACCATTTTCAATGGGTCCCTGCAAGCTAGGCCTGTCTCTTATACACATCTAGATGTGTATAAGAGACAGAAGTATGACTGTGCATGCGTTGTTTCGTTTACGTAAATATATCATTTACTGATTTGTTTACGGCGACGTAAATACTGTATATTCACTTTCTTTTTTTAAAGAATTTTCTTAGATTTTGGAATAACCAGAAGCAAATAGTTGCATACCTGGAATGTTTCAGATGCTATCTCTTTCTCAAGCACTGAAGCTACTGCTGTTTATCACTGCTGTAAGTGAAGTACGCTCTCGTACGTATGGATGACGTCCTGTGATGTTCCTGGACTAGTGACACCTAGGT